CTCTCTATCTTTCTCACAGACACACATATATATGTTTGGATTAGCTCCTCTAAAATTCACGGCGAATAAAGCTCGCCAAAACACATGTTCAACCTATATAGATTAACTATTATTATGAACAAGGTTTCCGACCATATTGTCGCTATAAAAATGGCAGAGTTTTCTAGCTCGTCAAAATAAAACAGCGATATTTACGCTATAAAAAAAGCTTCACACTATTCTTTTCGTGTATACAAGATATGGTATGTATACAACGGGAAGACACTAACGAGATGAATTATAGATTTTCAAAGCAAATTTAAACTTGAGTTTTTACAGCGAAAATTCATAGGAAGGCATATTCTTTGCAGCTTTCCGATTGGAAAGATGTTTCTGATTAATTAAGCTTTGAGATTTCTATTTTTATTCATTAACTCATTCGAGATAGCTGTTCATACTGCACTTGTAAAGTGTAGCAGCTTCTTCCGGGTTGATGAATCTGACACGCGAATAGCCGAAGACACATCGAGCATGGAGAAGCGGAGTTTCTAGCTCTAATGATGTTCCAAAACATCACTATATCGTGGGCCGGTTTTACATAAGACTTTGAGTTTTAGCTAAGAATATACGCCGCGCTTTGAACCGCCGGTCAGAGTAAGTGACGAAGTAACGTCTATTTTCGTTTGCTATAATGAGAGAATGCTGATAGCGTGAATGTTTCATGGGGACGGCCGTCTAACTGGTTCCGACAGTTCGGTCTTTCGACAGGCCGGGATGGTGTTCGTGAGTGTTGCGGATTCAAGGACTGCCTTCCGTCAGCTTATGACGTATGTTTTCGTTATTTGATGCGTGATGAACGTATATATTCTCTTGATCTTTTGATATTTGCACACACGTCACAAAATGTATTATAGTCAATAAAGATGTATACATTTCTTGCTCGAATCAATTTTATTTCGCAGACTGGAAAGGCATATGGAAAAAGCATCTCTTTTACATGTGGCACTATAATGTGAAAAATTTGATAATCAAAACTACTCCAATAAATAAAAGCTTTTCTTTAATTGGCGATTAATTCATAAGACATCGATGTTACGAATCAGTAAAGAGAAAAGAATTAACTGAAAAGTTTAACGAGAAAATTGCAGACAATTGCTCCACACCGATTAAAAATATCATAATATCGATATTATACATTTTGCACTCTCAATAATATAAATGTTAAGGTAATTCGGAGGAAGATGACACTTAATTTATATTTTTGTCATAGAAAATACATTTTCCATTCTGACTGGGGAAAATTATGTAGTAAACAATAGGCAAAAAAGTGCAAAAAGCCCATGCTAATTGGCATTGAAAAATATTTAACAAAATACGAAAAGGTAGGTCATGAAATATCTCTTTATAATATTTGGTACGCTAATAACTAAGATTTGTGGTTCGATGCTTACTGTAAAACCAAACGAATAATGATATATGATTTTGATCAGTGTTTTCTGGCAGTTATATGGCTAATACAGATTATAATACAGATGACAATAAATACAAAACACAATTTTCCTTGCTTCATACCGTTATTTAATTTTGGATTAAAATTTAGGATGTTTTATATAATTCGAAATATATTTCAAATTAATAAAATTAAATGAATAAAAGTATGTTCGACATACTTCTTAAATTACTCTCTTTCATACTTCCTCAATTTATGTTTTATCATATCTTTATGCGTTTTTATATTTTAAAATTTTAATTATGGACTGTCAATAAATAAAATGTACAATTACATTATTTTTTTACATTTTTTCCCATAGGAGGTGGCATCTTATCCGTATAAGTATAATATATGAGGAGAAGATGCCACTTTTGCAGGGTATGATATAGATAGATATATCAATCTTCTTCAATAATATACACGGAGTATCGAAAGTTTAATTCATCGATTCATAATTAAAATATAAATTGATAAAAATAATATCGTTTATGCAGCAAGAATTGTAACTAATATACAGTTAGGCTGATTATACGTCCCAATATTGAGAAAACAGATTTGTTTTTGCAAGTATTTTCAGAATAATGTTACCGAAATGTAATCGCTAATACCGCACGTTCATCGATGTATTTAAAATAAACGTATTTGCGGTACTAACTTTCGCGATAAAGCGTATATGGCACCGACATATTTATCCAGCGTCCAGAATTGCCCACTGCTTCATCTTTGAAGTATATTGCGACGAAGAGTTCTTCTCAGAAAGCATCCGCCTTTATGACACACTTTTTCGCACTTATCTCCTGATGTCCTAAGCGATCTATTCTCATCTTCTTATTTTGCAACGAAAAGTTTTGACGAGTTTGCCCATGTCAATTCGTTATTTATTACCTGCCTTTCATCATGAAGCAGCTAGCCAGACTTATACTTTTTATTATATATAGTTCATTACTGATTATTCGGAATATAATATATAATAGAATGTGTTTATTGTTATTAGAAGGATGCATTTTAAAATCGCCGTATTTTTACATGCATTCGTAATAAGATCTAGAAGATTCTAGCATAAACCAAAATATAAAATAGATAAGAAGAATAAAACATAAAACATAAGAAGATAACAAAAGAAAATAATGTTTACATGTGTGATTTTTAACAATTTTTATTTTTTTAATATAATATAATCACCCTTTATTTTAAAATATAAATTTGTTAATACGTATAAGTTTTATCATTTCTTCTATGGCGAAAATAAAAATTAAAGCGTAAGTAAGAATGTAAGGAAAAGTGACAGAAATACATTAACGAAGCTTCTAGGAGGTGAAAATTGAGACAACAAAATATAAAAGGCGTTTACGCTTTTTTTACGTTTCATTACCTCAATTTTCGCCTCCTAGAAGCTTCGTTTATACTTTTTTAATTCTCCCTTTACATTCAATTTGTGCTGCGATTTTTATTTTCGTCAAAAAATTAGATATTATATATATAATTATATTAAATATTAAAACCGAGGTAAATAAAGCGAAATAATTTTGTGCGACAGGATTCTGACGTTATTAAGAGGCAAAACTAGGACAGTACTTTGATACTAATGTCACGTATGGTGCCATTGTCTCGTCGTTATGTTACATCACAGCCTTGTGCAGCAAGCCCGTACGACGCGATACCGGCGTGGTGTGCGCGAGATAACCGGAGGACTTGGCAAATTCGACGAGGCATCGCGATACGAGGGATATCTCACAGGCGCAAAACGCAGGAATGCGGACGAGCACTCGTATGTACCTACATTAAATGTATTTGAGATTCGAGAAACGGGACATTGACCCGTCTCGTTCTCCCGTATTCTCATTCGCGTCTCTCAAGTGCTTATACATTTGGAGCGTAGCATGCCATCGCTACTGGGAGGTATGATAATCCGTTCATTCGTGCAAAAAGTGCATCTTCTTAAAAAAAATAAAATTGTGTATCGCGTGCATTATAATTCCAGCTATGAATTTTTTCCACTTCTACGGAAATACTGTCTCTCTGTAATAAATTGGCCATTTGATTTCTGTGATGATCAATGGTCCTTTTATTAAATCAATTAAATCGATTCCTCTTAAATTAATTTAAATAATTAGAAATCGATCATTACGTTACTCGCATAATGAAACTTTATAGAAGATATTATTTTATGTCACCCATAAACGTAACAATAAATACTCTTAAATAGAAATGTACGCTAATTATAATACAAAAATAATGAAACTTTGATTGTATTACATCCCTGTTGTGTTTATGTCTATGAATATAAAAAATGATACTAATTGTAGAAGATATATAGATAAGAAGATACTATCACATCGAAAAGTATAAAATATCTACATAGAGAATGCAGGGCGATGATAAGAAAAAGATCGATGTTCGCGCTGAGCACCATGATTGCGTTAATGTTAAAGATGAAAATGAGGAGAAAGGATGGCCAAAGAACAAATTTCCCAGTAAAATGTTCGCGATGGATTGTCCTCGAAGATGTGCCTGATATCGCATTTGGATATCCGCCAATCGGTTATTTTCGTTCTTGAAGAAAACGTGAGCCTTGTATAATTCTAATAAGAATAATACTTGAGAGCCGAGTCGAAGTAGAGTTACGTATTTATAGCTGATCTAAACGCGGTTTGATTTTCTAAAAGACACTCAATTGATTTGGCAATTTTTATTTTGGTATATTTTTTATTTTAAGATTCTAGGTAAATGGAATGACAGACGAGAGACTTTGAACTTCTATATGTCGATGTAAAATATTTTTTTAATGGCAGTACCTTTTTTAAAAATTATTATGTATTACATTACATCATCACTGACATTGAAGAAACTTCCCAATTTTATTTGCTCCTTAGTGAAAGAATTTAGAAAACAGTAATATCTCAAACGCCAAAAATAATACATTAGAAAAATCATCCTAAGGTAGAAGCACAAACGATGAAAAATGGCCAAGTTTATTTGGAGTGTGTGTTTACATAATATAATACTATCTTCCGAGTATGAATAAAAAATTTGGAAAGCTGTCTATAAATCAAGAGAAAGACTTTTCTAGAAACAATTACGATATATCATCGTGTCTATCTATCTACTCAGTCATTTATTCTACAGACATCTTGTTACCTTAAAAGAAAAATAAAATGTTCTACCCTTGTTATCTTATATACAAACAGCTGCGAGAAACTATTTCGAGATTAAATTTTTTTTTTAAATTATTCTCTTTATGGTAAATAAAGAAACCACAGATAAGCACACCATGCTATTGATGGTCAAAATGCGGTATACTTTTAGATCGATGACGTTTAAATTGGACGGCACTGTCTCTCTTTCTCTCCTCTTTTCCCTACATATCTCTTCCTCTCTTAGCTCTTCAAATTCGAAGGTTAAACGCAAAAAAGCGACGACGACATCCACAGCAGTCGCCGGGGACACTGGCTTCCGGCCAGAGTCAGGCTTTCGTTGTCTCGCCACCAGATAGCGACGGCTACGGACTATTTAAGTGAATTTCGCGGTCGCTCGGTGCTTCGTTTTGTTCAGCAGCGCAGGTATTACCCCCTTTTGAATGTTTGTTTGTTTCGCTTCCCTTTTGTCGTCGCGCAAACGACTCTTCTGCACGTCGTAAAGGGCTTAGTCGAAAGCGGCGCGTCGATAAACGACGATGCGCACCGAGGAGTAGTGGATCGAAAGGAAAAAAAGAAAAAGGAGAAAAATAAAGAGAGAGAGAACAGTGTGAAAGGCTTAACGGGGGTGGTCCACACCCCCCCGCAGCTCTTCCAAGTGCAAAAGTTGAAGAATTGAAGACAGAAGCATTGGTAAGTCCCCTCGCCGCGCAACCATGGTGTGCAGTTGCATATAGTGTTCTTCGTGTGACTACGCGCAGTGTGACAAATCCTCCGTTTCCGGAATGAAAACCGCGGGAGGATGGAACGTAAGTGTAGTGAAAAGCCAAGAAGGATTAGCCGTGAAGTATCGTATTATTATCGTGATCGATTCTGATTATCGTGAATAATCAGAATCCCTTCCTGATTTTACCAGCGAAAGGCTGCATTGAAGAACGCAGCCTTATGGTGGAAATTGCAAAATTTCGTGCGTCAACATTGAGACATCATCGCGAGATTTAGAAATTCGTAAACGCGGTAGTGATTGCTCTTCATTTATATTGGCGGTGGCTCGACTACTTTTAAATAGCTAGCCAGACGAGAGGTGCCTCTAGAGCGTTATTCTACCTCGTAGTGATTATCGGCTGATATAGAATTTTGTATATTAATTCAGGATATTTAGAATGTTTCTTTCATCAATATTCGGAGATTTAGAAACTGCGTATTTTTACGAACAGAGTACCTAGTTTTTTTGAAAATAGAATATCTCTTGTTATTTTATACTATAGAAAATGTATATGAAATTTCACGAAACATAAGAAAAAAAAAAATTGTACGATTCATAGAGAAAAATATGAGGAAGTATGTTTTTATTAAAATCGTGTTATTTTTATATTTGTTGTTTGTGATACTTTTTTTTTACAGTGCAAAATGGAGACATAATTTCTTTTAAATGACTTGAATAATATTAGCAAATGTCACTCTAGAGTATTGGTTTTCAAAGCAGGATGTTTATTAATCAGCGTGTGTGAAAATATGTGAATTATTGAAACCAAAGAAAACGTTGCAAATTTTTATACTCGACGTAGATATATTTTTTTAGTTTTATTTTTATATAAAAATCGTGTCTCGAAGTAGTAATATTACGTCATAAGATATTTTATAGAAAATTCTAGTGGATTTCATAAGCGATATTGTATCTTAATCATAAGTATAAAGTACCCTTAATTTATTGCATCTTGGAAAAGACGGAAATAAAAGAAAAATGAAGAAATTAAAATTATAAAAATAAATATTTTTTTTTAATACAACTGTTTTTATTTTATTTTTTGTTAGACATAGAATGTTTACGTCAATTTGTGAGGATGTTTTATATTTATGGCCCAAGGCTATACCGCGATTTGAAACATTTAGAAATAATAGAGCGAAGCTGAATTAGAAAATGTATGTTATTTAAAAAAAGAAACGTTATCAAAAAAGATTGTTTACATGACATTATTCAAACTGAGACATTATTTTATAATTATCTAAACAAAAAAATTATCTTATCGATATTATCTTGAGTATTGCGTAATGAAAATTACATGAAGCGAGTGGCACGAGCCGATTCTATTACATTACACGTGTGTTGTTTCACTGTGTGATAATATAAGTACGCGGTTGCATAATAAGTGCTTGCAAAGCGAGGTCCGCAGATTAAAAGCGTGTCGTTCCGTAGTAAATAAAATATCTTAACGCGTCGTAACGCTCACGCGGAAAGTTCGCGTATGCATAAAGCGGCTCGGGGTGCATTGAGAAAGTCAGTAAAAAAATGTCGTAAAACCGCTTAATATTCCCGATCGCGGATGAAACCGCGTAAAACCCGCGGCTTTTCGACGACGAGTAGGTAGCGGTGCGTATTACGCGACCTATAATAACTAGAGCCAAGAATTCATTTTAGTTTTTGTAGGTCACCACCACATCCGCGCGCTCGGGTAAAACAATTTTCGCGAGCCGTGGAAATTATTTCGACCCGCGACGTCGCGGTAATTTGTGCAATTCTGAACTAGAATTAAACACCGACCGCGGCGAATTGCGCGCTGAGGGAGATATTTAATGAAAAATTAAATCCGCATGCATTTAATAAGAGATAACACGTGTCCATGCAACACACGTGCGTTCAGCTTGTTACACGTTAAGCTTTGGCGTTGCTAAATGGGCAATTTTTAAACCCGGCAAAATTAACGCTTTTAATACTGAAACTCGAATGCGACACATAGGTAAACATTTGTTTTTCTTTTCTCTCGTATTTGTTCATCCTTCCGAGTAATTTCTGGCCGCTTGTTATATGCGACGTTATTTATAAAAATTTCAAAGGCATTTTGTTATCTTTGGCGATGGGTCCGCGGTAGAAATACGTAATGGATGATTTCATATCGTGTGTCGTAGGGAATGCGTTAATGCGTGCACCGTCCGTAATAGTCGGGCTTGTAGTCGGGTATAGAAACGCGTTTATGCGACCGCATTGCCATATGGTACCACGTCACAATAGCATAACATAGACATATCGACATCGCCATTAACATTACAGGAAACGATTTGTCGAGAGATGACTAAGTCAAGTCAATATTGCATAGTTAGCTCCTTCATAAAGCGATTCATCACAAATTAGTCTTTTTATTTGAGGAATCATAAATTTATATTTAACTAAATTTGAGACGAATTAAAAAAAACGCGATGTATTAAAGGAATTTTTTTAATTAACTTTACAGACTTTTTGTAATTATTTTTTTAAGTGATCGTAATAATTAATTCATCCGGAAAAATAACAAGAGATCAATTCTTTTGGTATAACATTGATTTTGTCTACTGAATTTTAATATTCTCGAAGAATTTGTTTTCTTTGAAAAAAGAATTCTGATTGATCGAGACACAATCATTTACGAAGCAAATTATTTAGCATAGCTGGGACAATTGCATACGATTTTTTTTTACATAAATGAGAGAAGACATCAATTTTCTTTGAGACTGGATAATCCAACAAAGCGGATTACCTCATCCCGCGTATCTATGTGAGGCATTCGTCACATATAACGGCGACCTCTACTTGTTTGCCAACAAGTGCTGTACATTTCTTATCCTTATGGCCCGTCCAACATGTTGCATCTCTCGTCTTCAAATAGATTCCACCAGTCCACTCACTCAAACCGTGACCACAGATCTGCTTCTCCCAGCTGCGCTTTTCGCGCTTTCTGTGCTTAAAATGGATCAAATGTATACTTATATATCTCGACTAGAGAAATCAGCCCTTGTTATGTAAAGGGGTTCATAATTTGTTTGATTGAAATTTCAGACAATAAGACATCATTTTTATTACCATTTTAAAACTGAAAATGTTCTACATGCTTGAAAAAAAATTTAATAATATTATACAAATACTGCACATATATTTATTTCGCATTCCGGAGAGTTAATTTTATGCTGAGATATTATACACTTAAATTTTATAGTTCTGGATTCGTGAAAATCCTTACATTTTCCGTCAAACTGAATAACTCATTATTTCAATAACTTTTGTAATTCAGATTATTCATGCTTCCACATTTTTCATTAAAGCTTAAAGCATCCGTGAATATATTCGAGAAAGTTGGTGCATCCTCTGACTTATTATGAAAGCATAATCGTGTAATCATACTCGGTCTCATATAATCTCAGTAATGAAAGTAAAAATACAGTAACTGTTGAATACTTAGTTTAAAAACTAAATTCAAAAGGCGATAAGCTATTTTGAGAAAAAAATCCGATTTATAATAAATAAAGCCGAAACAATGCAAACTCGCTAATGTTATAATTAAAATATTTCACGAGTAAAGAAATGTAACGTTTCCAAATCATTATCACCTCTTAACAATCCATTCTATTGTGGACCGAGAATCGAAAAACTACCCCAAGAGCGTCATAGTCCTTGGCGGGACGCACGTTGGTGGGAGGGGAGGAACCGATGCCGAAGATCGGGAGAGCGGCAGCTCTCCGAGCTGATCTCTGCCAAAATAATTAGGAAGCCGTCGTCGAAGACGTGCTAAAAACGTTCGCTCGAGCGCGCGCGATTTGGCCGGCTAGTCGCGTCCCGGGCGCTTGAGCGAGCTGGTCGTCCGGACAGTGTCCTCGGCAGAGAGCAGTTCGCAGCGGAGTGTTGTGGTGCCGCAGTACCGCGACCAGTCGCCGAGTCCGTGCCGTATCGCGCGGCGGGTGTCCGCCCTTCGGCTCTCCGGAGCCGATCTGGCGACAGATTGCGATCCGTCGAAAGGGATAGTCAGCGACGAGAGGGTCAGTTTTGCCATCCGCGATATTCGGGCTTTTACTTTGTAGAATAAAAAAAGCAGCCCCTCTACCCTGTTTGTCGTAACACTTTCTAACAACATTGGGTGCTTTCTATTTAATGACACAAACGTTCTACCTTTCTTTGCGCTCCATAACAAAGACAGGACATCTTGTGTCATCAAATGAAAAGCACCCATGATGTAGTGGATGTAACAGTGATTAGTGAGTAATCAAGTGAAATTGTTAAATTGATCGCGCTGTAATTGCTCGCTCGGAAAGTACATAAAAAGAAACTGAAATAAAAATTAGGTGCAAATTTGAAAATAATCTTATTAGACCAAGATAATTATGTAGGATACTCAAGCTTGATGCTGCAAAACGTTTTTACATTCTAACAATCGGTTTGAACGTTTTTTATAATTATTTTCAGATTTATATCTAGCTAAATTTTTATGTACTTAAGCAAAATATTGTTTTTGCGTAGCTTTGTGAAAAATCGAGATAAAATCATTAAGATTTTTGCTATTAGTCTGTTACAACGTAATCGCGGTTTAAAAAAAATTTCACAAATGCTCATATCTGTACTTTAATTATGTTGAAGAGTGATTTAATTAACTTTTAGTGCGTTTGATGATTTTCCAGTCGTTTATTGCGCACGATGAGTTGTTTGTGTCCTGAGTTAATTTTAATCACTTTTACAGATAAAAAAAGATATTAATTCTTGCATATATTTTAACATCTTTAGAAAGTATTTATAAGTGGTGTACAGGACATGAATAACTCAATTATGTGTGTTGACAAAGAGTTAATAACATTTGTATTTTTATAACTAAAAAAAAAATTAATTCTATTTGCGGCGAAAAGTAAATATAAAAAAAAAGTTGATAGGGTTTCCAACGGACTCCGCTGGTTGA